GGTCAGGATGGGTCCAGAGAAACATCAGCGTCGATGCTGAGGACAGCTCCATCGCCTCCAACAACACCGATGATGTGTGGGTGTTTTAAACCTGGCTCCAATAAGCTGGGATTGTGCCAGCAGTCTCTTATTGCACAAGGGACCCCACTGGCTCTGGCTGCTCCTTCAGGAGTCTGGCATCATTACAAACAGGATGTCATTAGCTCATTAATAATTCAGAAATGACCAAACTCCTCGGATGGAAAAGAAAAGCTTTTCCAAACTCCGGTCCCTAAAGGAGGACGGTGTCGTCCTGCAGCGTAGATGAAGGGTGAACATGACCGTCCGTCTGCGGAGACAAACGACACACTGCTGGACGGATAACAGCCTTCTGTCCCAGCCAGGAGCGTTCCAGCTGGGATCCCAGCCACACAAACGGGCCCTGACCTTTCCAGATTATTCCACAACAACTACAGCACAAAAAAGACAAGAGGCGTCCATTATTCCCCTGACCCACTATGAAAACAAACAACGCTGCAGCCTCTGAGCTCCTATTGAAAACCCGCTGAGCCTGGATGATGACAAGCACCTTACTGGTTTAAAAATAGCAGTAACGCAATTGGGTTAGCACATGTTAGTGGGATTAGCGCAGGGCTATCCCAACACCATTAAAGCATTTCCATCCACCATCCCCAGGATTCATGCAGTCACCCTAACCCTAAGGCCCTAAAGCTCTCATTCGTTACCCAAGTCGGAGCATTACCGTTCACCCGTCAAATAAAACCTCCAGGAATGGAAAAGTAAACAAAGTGAGGCTTCCTTACTAGGAAAAGGGCCTGATGTGGATGTTTAATGAGATCTGAACAGGGAGATGCTGCTGGGCAGCACATCACCACCTGGTAACACCAGAGCAGCCTTCACCCATCAGCTGATGTAGAGAGCGTTTACCTGCAGCTCCAGCGGGGCTACACATGCAGTGTATCTACAAGGCTCTGCTGCCGCCGATGCTGTTGCGCTCACGGAGAACTGGAGCTGCTCCCCGACTACGCTGCAGCACGCGACCTGTCGGAGAAACACAAGTTCAGGGTTTGTGTAGAGAGACGACACTGAGCAGCTACAAGAATCAGACCAACTCACTCCTGAACAGGGAGCATAACGTTACAGATGAATGGCCAAAGGAAGTCACGATCGTGACAAGTACGACTACAACAGAGGACCGCTGACGACCGGATAAGTTTCCAGAATGTGAATTTTCCACAAGAGTTACCCAAACCCCCGTGAGGTGTGAATCTTCACTAGTCTCACAATTCCATTACGACTATCAGGATTTGATATATTGTCCAACAAATTATTGACGTTAAATGACATTAATGTCGACATTAGAGACCAAAATAACCACTTATGAAATGTTAATATATCATAATTATGCAAGTACACCTTTAAAATGCAACAATTAAACCTGTATTTAACATTGGAATGTCCAGAACTTTGAAATAAATAAATGAATAAACACAAACAAAAAATAAAATAGAAAAGGACTCTCTGTTAGAAAATATTGCACCAAAAACAATAAAATAGAAAACAATAAAATAGGCCCTCTCTCTAAAACAATTAATACAACGGCCTGTCCAGTGTCAGCAACCTAAACTGCACTTCAGTGATGATAATGATGATATCAGTAATGATAATGATGATAACAATAATATCAGTAATGATAATGATGATATCAGTAATGATAATAATAATATCAGTAATGATAATAATGATAACGATAATATCAGTGATGATAATGATGATAATAATAATATCAGTAATGATAATGATAATATCAGTTATGATAATGATAATATCAGTGATGATAATGATGATATCAGTAATGATAACGATAATATCAGTAATGAAAATGATGATAATGATGATAACGATAATATCAGTAATGATAATGATAATATCAGTGATGGTAATGATGATATCAGTGATAATAATGATATCAGTGATGATAATGATAATATCAGTGATGATAATGATGATAATAATAATATCAGTAATGATAATGATAATATCAGTGATGATAATGATGATATCAGTAATGATAACGATAATATCAGTAATGAAAATGATGATAATGATGATAACGATAATATCAGTAATGATAATGATAATATCAGTGATGGTAATGATGATATCAGTGATAATAATGATATCAGTAATGATAATGATAATATCAGTGATGGTAATGATGATATCAGTGATAATAATGATATCAGTGATGATAATGATAATATCAGTGATGATAATGATAACGATAACATCAGTAATGATAGCGATAATATCAGTGATGATAATGATAATATCAGTAATGAAAATGATGATAATGATGATAACGATAATATCAGTAATGATAATGATAATATCAGTGATGGTAATGATGATATCAGTGATAATAATGATATCAGTAATGATAATAATAATATCAGTAATGATAATAATGATAACGATAATATCAGTGATGATAATTATGATAATAATAATATCAGTAATGATAATGATAATATCAGTGATGATAATGATGATATCAGTAATGATAATGATAACGATAATATCAGTAATGATAATGATAATATCAGTGATGATAATCAATCAATCAATCAAACTTTATTTCAGACAAGGGATATGTCCATAACAAGAATAAAAAATAAAAAATAAAATATAAAAAATTAAATACAAACACATTCTAATTACAAACCGTATAGGCAGTTGCTCCAATGTTTAAAAAGGACTGAGGAGTACCTCGTGTCACTGTAAGATAAAGATGACAGCGCTCTAACAACCGCGTTAGCTGACAAACTCAGTCGGCAGATGAATTTGTACATGAAGAGCCTCAGAAGCGCATGAAAAGTAGGGATGTTACTCGTAACATCCCTAATGATAATATCAGTAATGATAATGATAATATCAGTGATGATAATGATAAAGATAATATCAGTAATGAAAATGATGATAATGATGATAATGATAATATCAGTAATGATAATGATAATATCAGTGATGGTAATGATGATATCAGTGATGATAATGATATCAGTGATGATAATGATGATAATGACAATATCAGTAATGATAATGATAATATCAGTTATGATAATGATAATATCAGTTATGATAATGATGATGATAATAACAGTGATGATAATGATATCAGTGATGACACTGATAATATCATTGATGATAATGATAATATCAGTAATAATAATCAATAATAATAATAGAGTTGTACATTTCTCAACCTCGATGTGTTGAGGCTAGAAAACGTGTCACGTTCCTTTTTCGGAGGGACCAGTGGCGCCTGTACTCGGCAGCCTCGCCTCTGTCAGTGCGCCCCAGGGCAGCTGTGGCTACATCGTAGCTCATCCCCACCAGTGTGTGAATGACTGATTGTGTTGTAAAGCACCTTAGGGGGTTCCAGGATTTTAGAAGGCGCTATGTCAAATGCAGGCCATTTACCAATACTGTTTGCGTCGCCTAGCTAAAGTTAAGCTGTTGCTGTCACGGACCCACTTGGGACGAGTACTCCATGACTTTGTGATATCAAGGCTGGACTACTGTAGGCTGGGTTGGGTCCGACTGCTCTTCGACGTCTGCAACAGGAGCGGAAAAGTGCGGCCAGGTTTCTGACGGGGTCTAAGAAATGGCACCATATTAGTGCTGTGCTGGCCACACTCCATTGGCTTCCGGTCTCCTACAGGGCACAGTATACACGCGTTTTATTTGTTGATCAGGTTTTTCAGGCCAGCGCCCCTCCATATCTTGGGGATCTGTTAAAAACACATGTACCCTCAAGGTCATTACGCTCTGCAGATCAGTTCCTGCTAACTGTTCCTCGCTCCAGGTCTAAGACATGTGGGAAAGGGCATTTTCTGTTTTAGCCCCGCCCCTCTGGACCATTACCTCTTAACATGAAGCTGTCTCCATCTTTGGCTGCTTTTAGGGGTCGCTTGAAGACTCATTCTTATCGTCTGGCTTTCACCTAATCTGTTTGGTTTTAACTGATTTAATAGCTTTTATTTTTGTTTGCTATTATTGATGTTTTTCTTTTTGATCCTAGTTTTATTGCCGTCTGGTTTCTATGTTTTATTTGTGCTGTGTTCAGCACTTTGGGTCCCCCTTGAGGATGATGGAAAGCGCTACACAAATAAAAGTTGATTGACCCATTTTTTCCCCATCGCACCACATGTCTATCGATAGATATATTGAACTATTGAATTATCGTCCAGCCCTACTTCTCCGTGTTCCTAAATAAGAGACAGATGATTAGATCCTGCAGCCGCGGTCACTCGTCCCCTACCCCCCACCCCCACCCCCCGGCTCTCCCAACACTTGGTCTGAGCCCGACTAGACCAAAGTTTTTGAAACACTTCTTAAAACACCAAGTAGGAATAATAATGTGTCTACAGATGTGTCCTCTCTACTCTTTTCTGTTGTGTGAGTAGACACTCAGCTTTTCTCTCTCTCCATCGATGTGTGTGCGCACTAGCAGAACAAATCAGAGCCGGGCCAGGGGCGGAGTCATCGACATAGGGGCGGAGCACATCACTGGCCCTTTAAACCCATGAAGGCTCAAATGTTACACTTGCTAGTTGCATTATATAATATGTGTGCTTATAAAAGCTGATAGCCACAAGTTACTTGCATTGAACTGTTTAAACACCTAATGAATCAAAAATAATTAAAAAATATATTAATATTTTTTTATTTGTAATGATTTATTTTGTATATTGCAACAGGTGGTTGTGTTTTCAACAATGTAATATTAAATTGGCTTAAAGCACTTGTGCACACACCTCCGGGGCTAATTTATACATTACCTGCAGTTGCCCGGTGGCTCATGTCCACTTCATAGCTGCAGATTAAGCAAATGCATGGTGCGGTAGTTTAGAGGGTCGCAAGCATGGCCACCATTTTAAAAGCTGAACTGGTTTCCTTTCTTGTTTCTAATGTGAAAAGCTTAATTCCAACTCATTTTTCCACTTCCTGCATCTTTAATCTACTCGAATTATAAAAATGTGGACGGGCGTCCGTCCACATTTTATAACACACACACACACACACACACACACACACACACACACACACACACACACACACACACACACACACACACACACACACACACACACACACACACACACACACACACACACACACACACACACACACACACACGCTTTAAACAGCAGCAAGTGGGAACTGAAGAATGCAGCAGGGAGGAGGGGGGTGGGGTGTTACGCTATTGGTTAGGCAGAATTGTTTCTCTCTGCTTTTCTACAATGACTGGTTTCACCACGCTGCTGAGTTGTGTTGTCAGACATGAGTACCAAACGTGCACCTTTGCTACAGAGCTCATGTGCCTGCAGCGTTTTGTGTAGTTGAGAGGGCTGAGTCGTTCCGGCGTAATTAGATGCCAAATTGCGTACAGCTTGGCAGGTCTGTGTTATGAAAGGTATTTTGTGTATTGAGAGGGAATATCATTGTAACAGTAAGAAACCCTGTTAAAACCGTTTCAACCCTCCATTACAGCCGTAACGGCCCCAGCGGCTGCAGTTCATGATCCCCAGCTAAAGTAATTATTATTTAATCTGGTTTTATGTGTAAATTTAATTAATAACACTCACCACAGCTGCTGATTATTTATAGACATCCTCCTCTCTGCAGGAAGAGTTGTCGTAGAGCTGTCTCTGCACTTTATTTCCACCAGTAAGTCCTTTTCTACGGCCATGGAGGCCGAGTCGCCTCTGGCTGAGACAAACTAGCGACGGGGCTGGACGGACTCGAGATGATCAGCTTCTCTGAAAAAGTCCATCTTGACAACGGAACTGAAATAACCCCTGAGACCAAATCAACTCCTTCTTCTCCGTTAGCCACCTAGTTTGCTATCTGTTGTGATGAAGATGATGGTGGACGGCTATGTTTTACCCACAATACATTTGGAGACGGTTTTGGAGATCCACTTGTAAATTACAGATCATTAAGCTACATGTAAGTAAAAATAAAGCCTGTCATGCAGCTCAACATGCTATAAACATTTTACACCCACTGCATCGCTAAAGTCAGTCGGTCTAGTAACGTCTTTAGCAGCCATGACTCAACCCCGACTGGGGAAACCTACAGAACCCTAAATACATCTGCATGAGAGGAATTATTAAGAATGGAGCTCATTCTCCTCTCAACACAAGTTATGGACGCGCTCGTCTTATCTAGCATCGTTGCAGGGGCGGGCCCCTCCCAGGCCCGGGCTGGGGGCCCACTGCCCCCCTGAAGCTCCACCCCTGTGTGTGCGTCCGAGCGACTAAACCCGCTCATTTAACATAATTACTCGGCCCAAATCTGACTCAATTCCACCGGGTACATTTTTCTCAGCTCTATGGACCAGACATAATGCATTGGCTGTCTGTAAAGGCACATTCCTGTCTACCTGCACCTCTTAAGGCTGGAATGTACTTGCTTTTTAACCTTGCATTGGCACAGGCAGTAGGAGGCTGCGTCTCTGTTCACATACTTGCTGCTGCATGGCACAGCACTAAACGTAGTCCTGGAGGTTTCCGCTTGGGGAACAACAGAGAACTCAGACTGGGCAGAAACCTGGGTTTGTCGGGTACAACCGAAACAAACATGGCGTCAACAGAAGAGATCAGGTACTGGTTTGTTTTGAGATCACGGCAGACATAAAAGACAGCGGTGGTATTGTAGATATTATGAAATGCCTCTAAACATAGTCACACTGGTGAGTGATTCTTGCTAGTTTTGTCAACTCCACCTGCTGGTTACTTGTATATTGCAACGTAACGTACCAAAAGGCCATGTATTTCATCATAATGACCAAAAGTTAACTTCTTCAGACAGCTCAATCTAACACTGTCGTGCCGATATGGAATCTATGATCTTCACCCAAAATTCCCAACTTATCCTGTGGTACATCACCAGACATCAAGACGCTGCAAAAGACGCAGGACTTCTCATCAATCTTCTTTGATTAAAGTTGATCTTTTCTGGCTCATAAAATTACTTTATAATTTTCTAAGTTACGTATAATCATATTTTGCTGAATTTCCAATACGTTTAAATCTAAACTAATAATGCTCTACAGTAATGAATGATGGGTTAACACTAGGGCCGGGCAATACGGCCTAAAATCAATATCATGATATATTGAGGATTTCACCTGGATAACAATTACCCAGAAGTCCACCTCCACCGGCCGTCTGTCCGTCCCGACTTCTCCGATCCGTGGATCGCACGGGAAACTTCAGCACAAGGTTCGTAGATAATGCACAACTGATTTTTTTTTATTAATGGTAGCTTGTTAAACCATACTGTCAGACTGATTTAACAACCCAGACATCACAAGTTTCTAAGACACTTAATCAGGTTCTGCTACATAACATCTAAGCTCACATCCATCACTTCATTCATCGTCTCAGTTACCTTGTTTCAACCATCATTCATCATTATTCTGGGTCATCATCAGTAGTAGAAATATTACACTGACTTTATAAACCATGTTTTTGCCTCTGTCTCAAATTATGATGAAGGTGTGATTTCCCTGAACTACCAAAAAGACCTGGTTTCATCTTAGATCAAATATCAAAGGATCAATAATATTAATAATTCATATTTATATGGAATATCACACCTTATTGATAATTTATTAAAAGTATACCACTTCCATCACGTTACAGCAGCGTTCGAACAAGAGTTACACGTAGCAGGAATTTTAAACACGCGTTGTTAAACAGCACGTATATTCCCAACCTTAGAAGAGTCGTGTGTGTGTGTGTGTGTGTGTGTGTGTGTGTGTGTGTGTGTGCGTGCGTGCGTGCGTGCGTGCGTGCGTGTGTGTGTGTGTTCAATCTTCTCCATCCCCAGTAAGTCGTGGTGGATGGCTGCTTATACTGAGCCAGGATCCTCTGGAGGTTTCTTCCTGTTAAAAGGGAGTTTTCCTCTCCACTGTCGCTGCATGCTTGCTTAGTATGAGGATTGCTGTAAAGACTCTGACACTAGTCAGTGACTCGATGCAACCTGCTGGGTTCCTTATATAGGAAACTTTTACTGACTGGCTTAATGAACTGACCTGTACTGGAATGTTTACTATGCGAGGGTCCTTGAGACGACTCTCATGATTTGGCGCTTTATAAATAAACTGAATTGAAACAACAGGAAAAAAACTGAGAATTTCCCAACGGCACAAAGTGTGCCAAAAGGTCCAATATGAGGTCCGCCTGCATTTCTATCAACTAAGAACTCTCTAACTATTCTATACGATATATATCTGATAAATATCATCTGAGAGGGCAACTGAATTAAGAAACAAATGGTAAATTGTACTGTAAAGAATATGTTTATTACTCATCGTGGAGTGGATCTGTGGTATGATCTAGAGAAAAGTTTGAAAGGCAGCAGTTCATTGACAAAATTCAAGAAATTGTATAAAGAGACCTTGTTTAGCAATTATGAAAAACATTTTTTTCTCATGTCTGCTGTGCTCCAAATCCATGACATACGTGTTGCATTTTACAATTTTAGAGTAATCTCTAGAGTCTTATCTTTATTTTGTTACTAAAACAGCTCAAATAAACTATGTGGTTTATGAGACTTACTCTATTCATTTGGGGGAATGTCGTTTCCGAGAAAATCTCTTAAAAATGGCTTAGTGCTCAAGAGGTAAACAACTTTGTCCCTGGCCTTGAAGACAGACACCCCTGCTGAATGATCGCTCACCCCCTTGGCCTATAAGGGCGAAAGTACTAGAAAAATATTTCCTTTGCAGGTTCAAGCACATACTAATTGAAGCCTTTGCAGGGTTTCAGACGTCAGTAAAACACAGATGGCCTCTGCAGGGTTACCTTGTTCCTGGCCGACTCTTGGAAGCTGGACACCTTGCTGATGGTGAGTTCTGATGCTTCAACACCATCATCCTCAAAGGTCAACAGAACAGGGCCCTGGTGAATGAGGAGAGAAGCTGAGGAAAACAGCAGCCGAGGTCCTGTTATCCTAAAGGCTAGGGTTATTTATTGTGTTCAACTGGGAACATCGGGAAGTTCCCTCCAGCAGCAGGACATCAGGCCATGGAGGGATGGAGCACATGCGAGTTATGTTGTTTAATGAGAGGTTGTATTGTTGTAAGCGGACACCCAGCTGAGTGTCATGAGACTTACCCCACTATATGTGCTGGACTCGTCATTCAAAGCCTTGCACCAGGCTGCCTTCCATTGGCTTTTCCAGCTTTCCAGAGACAGCGCCCACCCCAGCAGAGAGCCCGCGTCCTCGTCCTCAGCAGCCGCTGATCTGCGCCTTTTCCCCGCGATCCCGAGCTGGAAGTACTGGGCGAAGTACAGCCCGAGAGTCAGCAGGGATGCGACGAACAGCGAGACCATGCACAGCCACTGCGGGTCTCCCAAGCCCAGATAGGAGCCGGAACTCTCCGAGTCAGACATTCTAGCAGAGGGCGGCCGGATAACTGCAGCGATGCCAAAGCCTAGCTCATACTGAGCTACACAGGTACAAGCCTCTACCCGAGCCTCCTCTAGAGACCGTCAGACAGGTGAACGTAGTCCAGCGGGACTCTTTCCACTCATTTAAGACGCCTGTTAGTGTAGATGGCTAATCTTCGGTAACCTTTGCTCAAGTAGCTAGAGAGCAGCCAAAGTTTTGCTAAAGGTCTTATTTCCCAAGTGTGCGCCTAAAGTCCACCGGCCAGTGTCCAGATGCGGAGCGAGAGTCCAGGTGCAGCATGTTGGAGCGGAGGAGCCCCGTCCGACCCGCTGGGTTCGTTTGGCAGCTCAGTCTGACTGGACTTACCTCACGAACACGGATATCTAGAACATACTACAACTCCCACAATGCAACGCGTCAGCGCTTGTTGTTCTGTCTTAAAGATGGTTTAAACTCAATAGTATCACTTACACGACACTGTATTGGGGACTTGGTTACGGCGTCTTTTATTAAAATGACCTGAATACCAACACTGGACCCATAAGATTCATATAAAGGTGATTAGTGGTGTTTTGACCTGCCTGACTTTCCGTAGTTTGCTTCCGCGTCATCGATACGTACATCCTAACGTTATTGAGGTGACTATTGTGCTCGCAGTTTCTTTTTGCTATTATTGTTGGAAATGTTCGTTGTAATGGCGCATTTTAAGTGAACCTGGTTCATGTTTTCTTGGTTTGACAGGGTCCAACAGACTCCGCCCCTTTGTAGAAGAAAACAAATGTGTTCGTCATCAGGTGCTGGACCGTGGTAGATGGACATTAGCCTAGTTTAGTCATGAATTGTCGCTCGGAGGTTCTCGAGGTGACGGTGGAGGCTCGGCAGGTGGAGGAAGCGATGCTAGCCCTCCTCCACACCGTTTTACTTCACCGCAGCACCGGAAAGTTTCACTACAAGAAGGAGGGCACCTACTCCATCGGTACCGTGGGCACTCGGGACATCGACTGTGACTTTATCGACTTCACATTCGTCAGGGTGTCCTCGGAGGAGCTGGACAGGGTCATCCGGAAAGCGGTGTCTGAATTCAAGGTAACAACAGCTGTTCCTTGCTGAGATCATGGGTAGACCCCGCGTGACTGCCCCTGCCTGGCTGCAGACCGCAGATTCAGGCTTCAAGGCTCGTATTGTGTTTGAGACAGCGCCCTCTGAAGGATGAGTTTTTAATTGCAACTAGATTGAAAACATTCCTTTAAAACACGTTACATGCGTACAATTTTATTATAGATTTAAAATATCAGATTTTTATTAAGCAACGTAAAATGATTAAACTGCTGGTGAAGCTTTACACCAAACTATTAAATAATTGGCCAGTCTTGTTCCATCTAACTGAAATGTCTTTGTGTGTGTGTGTGTGTGTGTGTGTGTGTGTGTGTGTGTGTGTGTGTGTGTGTGTGTGTGTGTTACTTTACACATACACAGTGATGGTACATGGCTCCTCAGTCCAAAGTAGGACAGATATATCAGCACAATCCTCACCTGTGATCACAAGCTTTGGGTGATGACCGAAAGAACGAGATTGCGGATACAAGCGGCCAAAAATGAGTTTCCTTCGCAGGGCGGCCATGTTCAGCCTTAGGGATAGGGTAAGGAACTCGGACATCTGGGAGGGATTCGGAGTGGAGCCGCTGCTCCTCCGCATCCCTCTAGGTTGACCAGGGAACGCCTGGGTCTTCCAGCTGAGGAGCTGGAGGACGTGGCCACTTTAGTCTTACATCCTTAGATGCAAACAAATGGAAATGGAGGCGGAGTTTCTTGGTCGCTGTAACAGTGATGTATTTCCTATTAAAACCCAGGAAGTGTGAAAAACGTACAGGGGATCCATCAGCATGTGATGTCTATGACAGTGGTTGTTTCCTGTCATGAGGAGTCGGTCTGTCAGCTGATTGGTGTTTTGCTTACAGGAGGCTTTAAGCAACTCTGGCAGTGACGGCATGGGCCAGATCTCCTTGGAGTTCTACCAAAAGAAGAAGTCTCGCTGGCCCTTCTCGGATGAGTGCATCCCCTGGGAGGTGTGGAGCATCAAAGTCAACGTGGTCAACCTGGCTAATGAGCAGGAGAGACAGATCTGCAGGGAGAAAGTGGGAGAAAAGCTGGGGGAGAAGGTCATCAATGTTGTTGAAGTCATAAATCGCCACGAGTACCTGCCAAAGATGCCCACGCAGTCCGAAGTAGACAATGTTTTTGACACCAGTCTTAAAGATGTGCAGCCGTACCTTTACAAAATCACTTACCAGATCACTGACACACTGGGCACGTCTGTTGGCACCACCATGAGGAGGCTGATTAAAGACACTCTGGCGCTGTAGATGCAGACCAACCACCAGTGTTCCACAGGTTTTTGCTGTCATTGGCTTGCCCTACAGCTGTAATCAGTTTATTCTCTTCTGATGTCTGCTGTGATTCCATTTGCTTTAAAGTTTCTGAATGATGTGCTTTTGGCTAAACCCCGATGACACACACCATTAAAGCATTAAGTGGCCTGTCTGCAATCATGGCGGTTTATACAATTAACATGGTTCTTGCTTGTTTTAGGCATAACCGCTGCCCCGAGACGTGAGCGGGAGGGTTGAGTTCTCCTGGAAGATGGAGCTGAATTTGGGCTAACACATTTCCTGGTGTGCAAACGTGAAATTGTCTCTGGCCTTGCACTTTCATGGTGAATGTGACCTAATACGTGGGACAGAACAGGATGTCCACTTCCGTTCCTAAATGAAACACTTCCTACTCTCACTCCCTGGCTTTAGGGGATGTCGGGGCGATCGACAACCTGAAACACCTCCCATGTCTGACTTGGGATAATCCGCCAACAGAACAACGGGTGTGATTCCTCTGAGCAGGTTAACATCTGAAGGCTCTGCACCGGCGTTAATGTGTCAGGGATTGTTCACCAGACGCTGTGGAAAACCATAAAGTTCACTTTCGCAGCTTAGCTGTAAAAGAATCAAGCTTATGAACATGTTGAAAATGTTGTCTGTCAGTAATCTGAAGTGTTTTTTGTAGACTATAAATCCAAATGTTCAACGGTCATGTTTTAGGTGAAAGGTGCCTGCTGGCCACATTTTACTCTAATAGTTTATAACAAAATGTTCATATTTCAGCTGTACGAAGAGATGAGATGTCAACAGTAAAGCTACTGCCAGGGCCTCAGTAGGTAACCACTTTTAATCCAGTCCACTGTGGTTGTGTCAGATGTGACGGTGTTGCCTGAAGGAGAAATAATTATTTCCAGCTGAAAGCGGTCAGAAGGTTCAGATGTGTCCTCTCTGTCCTCTGAAGGGACGAGACGAACCCAAATGTCCTGTAGCAGCCAGACAGTCTGTGTGATAATGTGTAGTTCATATCTGTAGTAAAACCGTCTTTAAAAAAACATCTCATATCAAACCAGTACAGACATGCAACGTTTCTCCTACCTGAACTCCAGGAGGCGGGGCTTACTCACCTGTACTCTACTGGTGTGCATCGGGCAGCTTGAGGTTGACAAAGCAAAAGTGTGGCACATGGTCATGACTGAACAGAACTGAGCTGATGCAGCAGCTAAGTTACTGATACATCTGGAAACAGTGGCTGATTTAGCAATTTGGGGACCCAAGGCTAACACAGACACGGGGCCCCTTACACTAAATGTTCGACAGTCTTACCTTTAACTGAATTTGCGAAACTCTCCCATCTCTTCTGACACGAGTTATTTTCCCTTTTTATTAGTCCTCCTCTTTTTTCCTGTATTTCCCTCCCTTTGAACACCTTCAATATTTGCTCTGCTTTCTTCTTCCTGTCAGTGCTCCTGTGCTTTTGCCTTTGTTTTTTTCTATTTTCCATTTTGGTCTATGTTTTCCTCCCTTTAAACATTTTCCATTGTCTTTCCTTTCTGCTTCCTTTTGGTGTTTACATCGAAAAACGACGTCACTTTCAGAAGTGAAAATAAAAGCTTTTATGAAGCACGCTGCTTTTTTCTCTTATTGGAGCCACTAGGATAACTCCATTTCATGCTTCATGTTTTGACTATCGCTTTGAGTTTGTTACGAACGCTCCCGCCTCTCTTCTTATTTTTGGTCTTATGGCACTTGGCAAACAATTTGGTGCATTACCGCCACCAACTGGATTGGAGTGGAATGACTACCAATCACTTCCTGTTTGTGCATCGCCGTCTTAATAACCCTCTTATGACCATAATTATAACAGGGCCGCCTGGTATTTTTTTCATCTTATGGCTGTAAAATTGTAATAAAAAGTGCAAAGTGAAATCAGCTGAAACACGTGAACACAAATGAATCAAAGACCACCGGCTTGAGGCTGTTACACTTTATTACTGAAGTGTGGCACAAAATAAGTGTAGAAAACTCCAACACAAAACTCAGAAAGCAACATTAATACAACCAACGCCAATACAAATATCCATTATTGCAGTAAGAGCACAGAAGAGTAAAAAGATCCAACGGGTACAAAAGTGGAGCGTACAAACACGAGTCTGTGGAAGGTGTCCTCACTAGAAGTTAAGAGCACTATTAGCAACACCATCTGTTCACTACACAGCCCCGTGCTCTGTGTGGGGTAAAGGTGGACTGGAGCACTCGGACTCTCCCCAGCCTAACAGGCACAACACTTACAGGTTACCCCACCAAGCCAAAAGCAGGAGTGTGTATATATCTATATCTATATATATATATATGTACACACACACACACACACACACTTGTACAAAAATACTATCACCTAACTGTGATGAAACCACTGCAATACTATCAAACACCACCTCTGTAATAAATCTCCAGAAAGCAGGAGTACCATTTTATTTGCCTGTCTTTCACCCTGAAATGCCTGAGTCAGCGGTCTTCTTGTGCTTTCACGTAAATCATAGAAAAAGGTTGCTTAAGGCGATCGAAGCAGGATAAATTCAGCAGCCCGTGGTCGTGTGTAGGTGGTGCCGAACACCATTAGATACCAGGAAACGCTCCCAGATCCATCAGCTGGTTCTACACAGCTCACGTCTACTGGAAGCTTTTTATGGGGTTAAAAACAGCTCTCTCTCTCTTTTGGCAGACACCTTTTGGTTTATCGAACTTATCCACACCGCAGCAGATTTAATCAGGCTGAGAAAGTATCTGTCGGCTTATTTTAAATTCTGTGGAGAACAGCTGATGGGAATGCCGAGCATCCCGGATATTTGACCCCCGTTATGTAAACGAGGCTTTGCTTCTGTCCTATCAGAGACAAGCGTAATAACAAAGTGCATAAAGATGAACCCTGACCCTACAGAGGTAAACACCAACAGATTCTCACATCACTTCTGGACGAGGAGCCGGCTTCACACGATCTGAAAGAGGACTATAGCACTTGATTGCACATTCATGTTTACATCTGTAACAAACATGGCCGCTTCAGTGGCGGGCAGAGTGCGGTACATTCAGATGTGGCTGTGGCTCTGCTCGTGGCTCCACAGGCTGAAGGCCGTCTTGAAGGTTCTGTGACAGAGTTTACACATGTACTGCCTCTTAAAGGTCAGGGCGGACAGCGACGGAGCGTGGTAGAAGAGCGTGTCGGACTCCGGAGGTCCAGCGGGGTTCTCCAGGCTGTTGGATTTGGATGGGGAACCGTGGCTGCCTGGCTCAGCCTCGGGTCTCGCTGTTGTGCTGGGCAAGGAGCTGCAGGGTTCTGGGCTGCTGGACTCCTCTGTGACCACAGCTGCCACTGGTGCCGCCTGTACGGGGAGGTGCTCGGAGGTTTTAGGAGTCAGAGGTGGGGAGGGAGACGCAGACGGTGGGTGCCTGTCCATTTCTTTGGCTCCAGGTTCGTTTGAAGTGGACATGTGAGACTGGAAGTGGCTCCAAAGGCGGAAGTTGGTCCTGAAGGCTTTGTTGCAGATGTGACAGATGAAGGGCTTTATGAGGCACAGTAGCTCCTGGTGGCGCTCTAGGTCTTTACGAGAGCTGAAGAGGTTCCCACACTTCTCACAGGGCCACACGCCGGGTTCTTCCAGCCCGGCTTTTGCAGCCTCCGTGTTGTCCCTCTCACTCACTGCTTCCTCAAAAGGCTCCTCCTTCACCACCAGGTTCCCTTGGTGGCCCATGCTCAGATCCTCAGGAGCGTAGGACAAGGAGTCCTCCGAGTCATACATGGGTGGACCTGAGGAGTCACTGTAAGTCATGTTTTGTCCGAACCGCCCACCTGAAGCGGGGTCGTTGCTGTAAGGCTCCTCCCGGAGGAACTTGGGCTTTTCTTTGTTGCTCTCCTGTAGCTTGGGCTGAATCTGGTTTTTACTAGTCATCATGTTCTGGTTGTGGACCTCCACCTGGTGGCGCCATATGCTGAAGGAGGATTTGAAGGTGCGCATGCATTCCAGACATGTCAGTTTCTTGTACTTGCAGTGAGCCTCGTGATCCTTCTTGACACCCGGACTGGAGAAACGGAGACCACAGTAAGGACACACGGTGGCATGCCTGCAGCCCCTCTCGTGGTCCCCCTGCTCCAGCGGCGACGACAGTCTGACGTTGCAGAGCCTGCAGGTGTAGACACCTGTGTCCGTGTTCTGCTGAATGATCTCATCCCGCTCCGGGTAGAGCGCGCCTTCCCGCTCCACATCCCGCTCGTTCCTGTCAGCTGGATGGGTCCGTAAATGCTGCCTGTACTGAGACTGGAACAGAAAAACTTTGCCACAATAAGGACAAATGAAGTTAGACCTGGCTCTCTTTTTAGCAAGTGGAGGCTGCAGACTCTGCTTGTTCCTCTTCAGCTTCCAGAGCAACGCTTTTTTTATTTCCCTCTCTCTCACGATGTCGATCAGCTTCTTCTGAAACTTCTCATCCAGCACTGACGAGGTGGAGGACGATGCCGGGTTCTGAACCACACCATGCTGGGTCTGACAGTGAGTCCACACTTTGAAGTTGGTATGGAAGCGCTTATGGCAGATGTCGCACGCGTACGGCTTCTCGGGGTTGTGATACATGTTTACGTGACGATGTAATCCGGTGCTGGACCGGAAAACCTTTAAACAGTTCCAGCATTTGTACACCTTGTTGGCAGGAGGTTCCCCGTTGCTCTGATCGGGGGCGTGCTGGGGTGCAGGCTCGGACACGTTAGCATCAAGTGAAACAGCGTCTTCTTTAAAGAACTTGCTCTTCTTGAACGGGTACCTCCTGTTGTCGGCCCATTCTTTCCGTTTTCCCAGTGGACTAAAGTCGGCCCTGGAGCCTTGGCAGAAATTATTCTGCAGGTTTTTCAGACTGACCGGCAAAGTGTCTCCCACTGTGATCCGAATAATGTCCATGGGGTCAGCGAGTGGACTGCTGGGCTCAGCCTTCACACTGAGATCCTCTACCTGAGTTTCTTTATCAAACCTGCCGGGGGGCTTGGACCTGAGAACCAGAGAGGACGCTCTGCTTGAGCTGCCATTGTGGGAGAAGGTTTCTGATCCAGAAGCCTTGGAGGCCATTTTGACGACCGACTGCTCTCGGTTTTGAAGATCCTTCAGCTCCAGCGTGGGAGAGAAAACTGGAACGGGGCTGTCCATGGATAAGGATCTCCGTAAGAGGCTTTTGATGAGCGGGCCGCTCCTGTCGGGGGTCTGGCTCAGCTCAGCGGACTGGGCCTGAGGGGGGACTCTATTATGATAGTGGAGCTCCAGCTCATCGTTGTCCTCCTTCATGCCAATACCGGACAGCGGCTGTACGTGCTGACCCTCAGCATCGCTAAAAGACACGGAGGATGTCAGCTGTGGCCTGACGGATGAAATGTGTGAGGAGTTTTCCTTTAATATGGAGGCATACGGATAGCTGGACTTCCTCTCTGACAGGCGGCTCATTTCTGAACACTTCCTGCCGGACTCGTTTGATTTGTGTTCTGGTGGAGGCAGAGCTGCCTCTCGAGTGAAGGGAGATGACGACGATGATGATCTCTCCAAAGTTTTTCCCTGATAATTTGAGAAGTAGAGAGGGACTGAGTTGTTCTGGACCCGACACACAATGACGCTCCTTGTTTGGGCGTCGTTCTCGTCCCCCTCTGAGAATGAGAGCCTTTTTCTGGACACGCAGTAGGAAGCATGCGGCCTTGTTGACACGATGTTGGTGAGGAAGGGAATTCCAAGGCTGTATCCCAGCTCCTGGATGGCTGCCAGGCTGCCTTTGTCCACAAACAGACAGGAGGAGTAGATGTAGTTGAGAACAATCTCAAAGGCGTCGGGCTCACAGAAGTCCAGGTTTACCACTTCCGGCGACTCGGCGTCCGTCCGTGAGAAAAGAGTTTGGAAGTACTCACTGCTGGCAGCGAGAACGCTCTTATGGGCCCGGTACCTTTGGTCGGCCACCACTAGAACCACGTCACACATGTGGCCCTGCAGCCGCTGCTCGTTGAGGACCCCCAGCACAGAGAGGGCGTGGGGCGGGTTACTGTAGTGCACCAGGCTCTCCATGGCTGAAAGAGAAGACAAGATGAATAAGCCTACAGAGACGGAAACGAAGCTTCAAATGTTTCAAATATCAGGAAACAGTTTTTGTTTGTTCAACTCTGACCTTTTCTATTAACAACTCCTTAAAAAGACCTGGTCCTGCCGAATAAACAACCCCACGACTGAGCCTAACCCTAGTCTCAGGTGGTAAAGGGAGGGAAGTAGAAGCGACATCATCACACATCTCTGAGTTTAGGAAGGGTATGAAGCACTTTCAGTGTTTTGTTTTAGATAGTGATCGCTAATGATGACATGCTTGATCTTAAATCTGACCAGATAAAATCAGAGGGAGGTCAGAATCAAGACAATAATCACAATGATCCTCCTAATCAGAGGTGGGAAGCTGGAAAGTCTGATTATTATGCAATTGGTGAATGCAGCATTACCATTTATTATGTTATAATCCTTTAATTTACCAGATAAAATCTCAGTGAGATGTTTAATCTCATTCCAAGAGGGACCTGGTCCAAGGAAGCAGCACAAAAATTACCAAGAATTTTACACAGACACAAAACTAAACTAAACACCACATCCAGGAGATAAAAAGTTAACAAGTACAACATTTCAAGTTCATCAGATTCAGTGAGTAAGGCAGCTACATCCTCCCAGAGCCATTTTCACGGTCCTTCAAAAGTGAAATGATGTTTGACATTTTCATTTCCTCATTTAGGTTTTTGCAAGAAGAGCGAGCGGCATAATGAAAACCTCTTTTACCCAATCAGGTTTCAGGTCTGGGGAGCGACAGTTGGGAGGACAAGCCATGATGGTTTGGACCATTTTGCAAATACACACACCGAGTTAGGCCCAGGACAGACTTGTGGACACAGGACGTCCAGTGAGTGACTCTGCGAGCACACGGAGAGGGTAGAGAGGCAGCAGTGTACAGAGAGCGATGATGAACACGATGATCCAAGCCAGTAATGAAACGTTTGGTACACTGGAACCAGTTTTTTCAGCCATTTATCAGCTGCATTCATATCAGCACGATCTAGTAAAGGTAGAAAAGTTCCGGTGAGTAAGTGCTTCAGAGAAAAACATTATTTATTTCTGTAAAAGAAACCTAGTTTAAGTTTTAGTTTCTTAACGAGATTTTCCAAGTGAAACTGAAAAGAGGTTCTGATCGATCACGACCCCCCAGTGTTTATAGGATGTAACCATTTCAAGAGGAACCCCATGAATTTAGGTAATCTTTGGAAGATTGGGTGTGATTTTTTTTACCATTTGAAAATAACACGAATTTGGATTTTTCAGCATTTAGTACCAGTGTTAGTGTGTGCTCTGTCCTCGATCCCCAGTGAGTCATGGTGGATGGCTGCTTATACTGAGCCAGGATGCTCTGGAGGTTTCTTCCTGTTAAAAGGGAGTTTTCCTCTCCACTATCGCTGCATGCTTGCTTAGTATGAGGATTGCTGTAAAGACTCGGACACTAGTCAGTGACTCGATGCTACCTGCTGGGTTCCTTATATAGGACACTTTTTACTGATTGGCTTAATGAACGGACCTGTACTGGAATGTTTACTGTGTGAAGGTCCTTGAGACGACTCTTGTCCTGATTTGGCGCTTTATAAATAAACTTGAACTGAACTGAATGTGGGCTACAGAAGTCCGTCTTTTCAGCTGCACAAAACGCCCTCAGGCACGGAGACAGAGGCGTTGTTTCTCTTGTCTGGAAACCCGTGGACTCGATGTCCAGACAGGCTGGAGTTGGTACAGCCTTCACACACTAGTTTGTCAACATGAACACAATCCAACACTAGTAAACACACACACACTGACTGGATCACATGACCTCTCTACCCTAAAACTAGCCACTCTCCACACTGAGCTGAGGCAGCCTAGCTTCTAACTCCCTTTGGTTCACTTAGAAACTAGAGAAAGGAACTTTTTACTAGAAAACTCTGCTGTTATGTGCTTTAAAACCAAATTTCCACAATAAGCCTTTCTAATAGTATTTTTGGACAACATTTTAAATGAATTAGGAAACAAATGTAACATGCTATTTACTATTTAAGTTGCCAAAATGAAATAAACTTCCTAAAAACCCCAAACCGCACTGTCTGAATGTTTGCATGAGTCCGTGACACGTCTCTGATCTGCAGACCGGACGTCTTCAGCAGTTTTTTTTATAAACGAGCGACAACCTAAGATCCTTTATTATTATTGTAGCGTCTGTGCTGAGCTAAAACACCAGACAGAAGGACCAGTGGTTAATGAGACCAACAACCAGCATCTCACTGCAGCTCCTGTTTAACCTTCACAACCACCCGTCTCTTAAAGCGACAGTAACATTAGTCCAATAACGCCTACAGACCATTACTATGTTTATTATTACATTCATGTGTTTTCTGGTGTTTCACAATAACTCCTAATATTTATTTAATGACCTGAAATAGTTTTCTGAACAATTCTGTAGGTCTAATTTGAGCGGAGGGGCTGTGTAAACCTGGCGGTAGAAAACCCGGCGGGCCATAAACAAGTTTACCTTTGCAAAGCAAGAACCTGCTCTAGTTCACTAGGCTACACCTGGTGGCTCTTTTTTCTAGCTATTTAACAAATTATGGTCACAATAAAACATGTGTGACATATACAGGTCAGGGGTCACTAAAACTCACTGGTAAATAGATACAAAAGTCCACGAGGACGAGAACAACATCTTTTTATGAAGCACCTCTGGATAAAAACCAAGTTTCTTCACAAGAATGTTAAAAATAAGAGATGTTTGATTAGCTTTAAAGGTTTTTATGGTGTGATTTATAAATAATGAGTTGAACCTTGATTTGGAGAAAACCGTGAATGGAAGTGAAATCGCAATTTCTCCTAGAAAAATCGCAATTCAATTTTTTCCTAAAACGGTTCCTCAGCCCTAGCACACAGAATAGGTCCAGAGCTGAGAAGGAGCCAGAACCTCTCCACGAGTCACAGACTAGAGCTCAGCTGGCTCTACAAGCTGCTGGTTACTGCAGCTCCAACTCCAGGTCGCTGGAAGTTAGGTCTCCAAGAAAAGTAAAGTTAAGCTGCAGTACTGAAGAACACTAGAGATGTTCCTCTGGTGGCTGAAGTCCGGTAGGTTAAAGCCAGCATCAGCAGGTTTGTGGGGTGACTCCAACAGGAATGTCTGGACACAGGAGGTCAGGTGGCCATAACCATCAGGTTACGATCCACCCACATATCATTTCCCAATGATGGTGCTGGAGGGCCTCCACCTGCTCCAACACACCTGCTGGGGCTCAGATGAGCCGCTGTGAAGCAGGTGTGTTGGAGCAGCTGGAACAGAGACCCTCCAGGACCTACAACGACATGACCTTTAACCTCCTGCGGGTTCTACTTCCCTCCACGAGGGTTCCTCTGACCGGTGAAGATTCATCATGAGTGAAGAAGCAGACGTGGCCAATAGCTGCTCGAGTCTGAGCCGAGCAGGAGGCGTGACTCGGTTCCTGCAGTTAGAACTTGTTCAGCAGAACCGGGCGGTCCTCCAGGAGCCGCGCTAACCGTTCATCACACCGGAGAGGAAAAGTTGAGAAACCCAGAGCGAAACCCTGCCGCCGTGAGCGGATTTAACCCCAGAGGTCGGCGGGAGTCCCGCGCTTTATCCGCTAAAAGCGGCTCAACCCCGCCTGCCTAACAGGCTCCAGCCGGTCGGCTTTTACCCCTTTCGAGTTACGTCAGCGCGGAAAAGGAAACGGCAGCTCCGGTAGACGAGACGCGGGCTTCCCCGCTAAGGTCGGCGGGCCCGGTCCGTCCGAACTCACCCGTTCCGTCGACAGGTGTCTGGTCTTCACGCAGCCCGGACTTTCTTCACTGTTGTCGAGGTTGCTGCGTGCTAGTCGTGATCCCATCCATCTTGAATTTGACGTCATCCCACACCAGGGATGAAGTCATCGCAAAGACCGCTCGTCACGTGCACTACGCGTTGATTGGCCGTTTAAGGAGCAGGAGGTGGGGCTAACTGAGGGGGTTAATTTAAAGAGACAAACCTTATTTTTTTATTTCAGTACGTTGTTGTTGTTGTTGTTGTTGTGTGTGTGTGTGAGCGCGCGCGCGCGCGTGTTTCTGCGCATGGTGGTGTGTGCAGTTCCATGTGTGTGTGTGTGTGTGCGTGACAAGGTAACTGTACACACACCTACAGTATTTCCAGAGCTTGAAGTCTAAAAAGTGCCAATGCTCCTTTTGAAAATGTTAACGTGTGTGTGGGGGTCTGTGTGTGTTTGGGGGGGGGGGGGGGGGGGGGGGGGGGGGGGGGCGCTATATCATTATCCGTCAACCTATCTATAGTAAACAGCAGATTAATATTTGTTTTGGTCTCACTGGGAAATTAAAAAATATATAAGGACAGAACTTATTTTATGATTATATAGCTCCCCTCTCTCTCTCGCCCCCCCCCCCCACCTCGCCCCCCCCCCCCCCCCCCCCCCCCCCCAAGCTTGACAGACACATGGACTTAGGCCACAGGTATAGATAGATGCTTTCCAATAGTAGTAATCATAAATAACTATTGATAACATGGACTAAGAGGCTATATAAACCAGAGATATTATAAC